GAAGACTTTATGTCCTTTTAAGGCCAAAAGTTTTAGCAGGTGAATGCTCTCTCCTGTGAAGAGGTTTGAGAAAGGGAGAAGAGAAGCAGAACATATACATATTGTAACCAACAAGAGCCTGCAGAAAACTTTATATCCTCCAAATCAGCTTTTAAGGTTTGTAAAGAGTTAAGAAGGACTGCCTGTGTAACCTGGGGCATTACTGTCCAGGTTTATTACTGTTCTTCCCAAGTGAAAGCAAGAAGATACGGACTATCCTTATGAACTGGAATGCTAAAAGTGCACTATATAGAACAATTATAGTGAAGAAGGATTTGCTTTCAGTGGGGACAGATGTCAGTGTATGGGGGTTAGGAACAACAGGGCGCCCAGGGATAATGTTACTTATTGCTCCGAGGTCCTGGACTAACCTCCATCCTTGGCCACTGGGTCTTCTCACAGGTAAAATAGGAGCTCCCAGGAACTAGTGCAGGGGATGATAAGGCCCTGAGTCCCGTGGTCTCCTGTTACGGGCTTGATGCCTTAAAGGGCTTCTTTATTTATAGCGTATTCGTTCTGGGGGAGAGGTGGTGAGGGATCGGTTTGAATCTTGATGGGAGGCGCACTGTGAATTCTGCCAATATCAGTTGAGGAATCTGCCCATAAAGAGGGTGGTAGCTGACCCGATGGGGACAAATGAGCAGTGTCCCCAGACTCCCCCATCGTGCCACCAGAGATGGAGCAAATAGAAGATGTTGAAGGGTCATTTAATCCACCTGGTTGGCGATTTTGATTCTAGAATGATTTCCTTCTTTTGGGAGAAATTCTGGCACGATACTTTTCTTTTTTTTTTTTTTAAAGATTTTATTTATTTATTTGACAGAGAGAGACACAGCGAGAGAGGGAACACAAGCAGGGGGAGTGGGAGAGGGAGAAGCAGGCTTCCCGCCGAGCAGGGAGCCCGATGCGGGGCTCGATCCCAGGACCCTGGGATCATGACCTGAGCCGAAGGCAGACGCTTAACGACTGAGCCACCCAGGCGCCCCGGCACGATACTTTTCTAAGAAATCTTGGCCCAGCCAATGAATGGTGGAGAAAGTAAGGAGAAAAGGGTGGGAATCTCTCAAAGGGCCTAAACAAAAGGGAATAGGGGCAGAGGCAGGAACCTGTTGAGGTTTATGAGAGGCCCCCCACTATTGGAGCTGTTTTCGTGCTCTGATGCCTGCAGGGCCTGCTTTCCAGGAGTGGTGCTGAGCGCCGAGAATGTAGCTCTGGGGTCAGTAAGACAAAGAGATTCATTCTCAGTCTGAGTGGTTTCTCCAAGCCAATTAAATTAAGAGGGGGGACTGGGAAGAGTCCCTGTCGGTTGTTGGAGCCCTGGCACTGGGAATTAGGAGGACCCTGGAAAGGCTGGCTAGAGGGCTGAAGGCTTCTGGAATGCTTAAATTTGTAACAGTCTTTTTTCCAGTGCCCAAGCCCTTTGCACCAATAGCAGAAACCGGGGGGTTTGGGTCTGTTTAGGGGCCTTCATTTGCCAGAGTTGAAAATTGAGAATTTTAGTTCTTTCTTTCAAGTGACCCTGCTGGGTGTGAGTGAGCTCGTTTGCCAAGCTAGCTAACTCTGGAGTGGACTGAGTTTCCCATTCCATGCTGGTCCTTCAACTAAAAGATCCTGGTTCTGCCTGTTAGTAAATGTAGAGTTAAAGGCTACCCAGGTGGATTCAGCCTCTTACGGAAGCCCAGAATCTTTAAAGACAGTTTGGAGTTGGTTATAGGAGTTATGACCAAGTTCATCAGGATTTTGTGTGCAAGCCTGAATTTTGTTCCAATCAGCAGGCTTAGGAAAAGCTACTGTAACTGCCCAGTGGAGATTTCCAGTGAGCGTTCTAGAATCTTGCCAAAGTTTTAGGGGTTTGTTTCTCTAAATCTTTTGGGATGTTCTCATGGGGCTAGTTTCATCCAGCATTTGGCCTGGTCCTCACCAACAAGCACATGGCCAGACTGATACAAATCTTAGAAACCGGGGTGGTAAGTTGAAATAGCCCTGTTAAATTCTTCAGCGAACATGTATCCTGAGTCACTTCAGGAAACTCTTCAGCTCTGGCTCACAGTCTGGCCTTGGTCGAGGGAACATAAGAGATTTGGGGTTTATTTGGATCCTCAGAAGACATAACTTTAAAGGGGCAGTCTTCAGGAAAGGAGGGAGTGGGGAGAGTTTCAGAGGAAGAGGGAAGTTCAGGACTGAACACAAGACAGCTGCTGCACATCCTGAGACATAGAAGGCCTCAGAAGCCCTTTTCTCCCTTTGTTTGTTTGCCTCTGTTAGTCTAGAAATTGTATTTTGCAGACAGGCAATTTTAGATTCCTGATAATGTTTGAAAAGCTTCAAAATCCCAAGGTAGGCATCCCATTCAGTTTTGACAATTTTAGAGCCATGGCTGTCCAATTAATTTTTTTTTTTAAAGATTTTATTTATTTATTTGAGACAGAGAGAATGAGAGAGCACATGAGAAGGGGGAGGGTCAGAGGGAGAAGCAGCCTCCCTGCTGAGCAGGGAGCCCGATGCGGGACTCGATCCCGGGACTCGATCCCAGGACTCGATCCCAGGACTCCAGGATCATGACCCGAGCCGAAGGCAGTCGCTTAACCAACTGAGCCACCCAGGCGCCCTGTCCAATTAATTTTTGAGAAGAGTAAGTCTGGGGATATGGCACGTTCCCTGTAATGGCCATTGGAGTTCTAAGTTACTTTGTGCATGAAGAGGGACCACAGTTTTTTATTTATTTTTTTATTCTTATGTTAATCCCCATACATTACATCATTAGTTTTACCTGAAGTGTTCCATGAGTCATTGTTTGTGCATAACACCCAGTGCTCCATGCAGAATGTGCCCTCCTCAATACCCACCACCAGGCTAACCCATCCTCCCACCCCCCTCCCCTCTAGAACCCTCAGTTTGTTTTTCAGAGTCCATCGTCTCTCATGGTTCGTCCACCCCTCCGATTTGAGGGACCACAGTTTTTAAACATAAACCTGGCTAGGGTCCCAGAAGTCAGGGCACCCTCCAAACATTTTGATGACTGGGATCTCATTTCTTAGGGTTTTGTTTGCTTTTTTTCTAGAGCAAGAAAGAAAAATTCCTAAGCAGTATGAACAGTCTAGTTCTAAAAGCAATCCGAGCAAAGGCCAGCTCTGATCCAGTAGACACAGCCTCGTTCCCAGGAAGCTGGGTGAAAGGCTAGCATGGTTTCAATAGGAGTAGCCTGGTTTATAATAGGAGTTGGCCCAAAGGCCAAATGAGCATTCTTATAAAGGGCAAAGCCTTAGAACAGATCCCAAAAACACAGAGCCCAAAATCCAGGAGAAAAATTACCTTCAAATTCTAGGGTTGGTGAGAAAGCAGTGAGCTCAGGTAGCTCTGTGGGTATGGGTACCTATTTGCTCACCAGTCTTGGAGTTGTTGGCAGTCTTCTGGATCCCACTTCTAATTACCAAATAATGTTAACCTTAAAAATAAGTTTTTTTTACCAGCAAAAATGAGTTTATTTGGGGCATTAAGCCATGGCCAAACCATAGGCAAGTCCAACAGAGAGGAAGGTGATTTCATGGAGAAGGCAGAAGTTGGAAGGGGTGGCTTTGAGGCAGAGCCTGTTGGAGGAAGACACTAGTTCAGGGTGATGGTGGCTTGTCATTGGCTAGTTGGCAAGGGTAGCAGATTTCTGGTAGGAGCTGCAATGTACATCTTTCCCTTTTGGGGCCTGTCACTGATGATTGTTTCCTGTTGAGATTCTCCTGTTGGGATCTATAATTGACCATTCTTCCTGTAATTGAGTGGACTTGCTCCCCCTCCAGTTCCCCCTTATAGCCTCTCCTACTTTCTTCCCCACTCCACATTAGTGACGTTTCCCTTTATTAATTTTAACAGGTAATGGGGCTCCTGGGTGGCTCAGTCAGTTGAGCATCTGACTCTTGGTTTCAGCTCAGGTCATGGCTCAGGGTTGTGGGATCGAGCCTTACGTGGGGCTCTGTGCTCGGTGGAATCTTCTTGTCCCTCTCCCTCCCCGTCTGCTCCTCTCCTGCTCTTTGACCTTGCTCTCTCTCTCAAATAAATAAATAAAATCTTAAAAATTTTTAAAGAGGTACTTAGTACAGTGCCTGGCATATAGTGAGCAGTAGAGAAGTATGTAAAAAGATTTTTTTGGGGGGCGCCTGGGTGGCTCAGTCGTTAAGCGTCTGCCTTTGGCTCAGGTCATGATCCCAGGGTCCTGGGATCAAGCCCCGCATCGGGATCTCTGCTCAGCGGGGAGCCTGCTTCTCCCTCTCCCACTCCGCCTGCTTGTGTTCCCTCTCTGTCTCTCTCTGTCAAATAAATAAATAAAATCTTAAAAAAAAAAAAAAAAAAGTTTTTTTGTTTTTTTTTTTAATTGAGGTCTTATGCTAGGGAATATGGAGTTTAAAAGATTATCAAGGAAGAAACCCCAATTAAGTACAAAATTGCTTTTCCCAGGTATTCTAAAATACCATCTTCCAAAATATTTAGTGCAGATTAAGAGCCGATTTTGAAGGGAATGAGGGTGCCATGTGTGATTCTGCCCAGGGGCTGGCTGGGACCTCCTAGATGCTCCTCAAGAATGAAGGCGTCAGGGGCACCTGGGTGGCTCAGTCGTTAAGCGTCTGCCTTTGGCTCAGGTCATGATCCCAGGGTCCTGGGATTGAGTCCCGCATGGGGCTCCCTGCTCGGCGGGAAGCCTGCTTCTCCCTCTCCCACTCCCCCTGCTTGTATTCCCTCTCTCGCTGTATCTCTCTCTCTGTCAAATAAATAAATAAATGAAAGAAAGAAAGAAAGAAAGAAGGAAGGAAGGAAGAAAGGAAGAAAGAAAAGAAAGAAAGAAAGAAGGCGTCATAGAGCAAGTTCTAGGATTGGGCACAGCTGAGTGAGAAGTAGGCTCCTCTGTTCATGCGGAGTGCCTCCTGGTAGATTCATTATTACTCCATTTTTATTTACCATCTGTTTTTCTCTAGCTAGGTCTTGACTCTGCTAACCGGGATCCCCCTGTGGTTTCGAGCTGGGACCTCAGCAGCACGAGGAAATGTAGCTCAGCGGCTTGTAACGGAAAGCATATGGACAGGTCCACGGCACGGCATTTAGGTGCGTCTGAAACCCATCTTTTTCATTCTGCATTTCACGGTGCAATTGTGCTGACAGCCCTTTAGTGTTAGAATTCATTTGTGCTTGACCTTGTCCTTTGCACATGTCACCAACAGTCTAAATGCAATTTTGGGAATAATTAATTGTTCCATTAATGCTAATGATAAGGTAATGGACTGCTTTAGGCCAAATTCCTTGTAAGCAGATTAAAGTAGAAAAGAGGCAAAGTCTTGCCATTTACAGGTAATAATAAGTAGGGAGTAAATATTTTCATTTTCCTTTATGTGCTTTTGACTTTTTTTTTCAGTAAAAATTTGAGTACTTATTGCCAGTTGAGGCTCCTTGTCTGGGGTCCCAGGTCTGAACCCTGGGGGTAAAGACTGAAGACCTCTTTTTTTTTTTTTTTTTTAAGATTTTTTTATTTATTTATTTGAGAGAGAGAATGAGAGACAGAGAGCACAAGAGGGAAGAGGGTCAGAGGGAGAAGCAGACTCCCCGCTGAGCAGGGAGCCCGATGCGGGGACTTGATCCCGGGACTCCAGGATCATGACCTGAGCCTAAGGCAGTCGCTTAACCAACTGAGCCACCCAGGCGCCCGACTGAAGACCTCTTCTCTCTTTTTCAAGCATTCTGCATTATTACTGATATTATTACATTGCATTCCCGGCCCCCCACTCTCTCTCATCCCAAAGCTTGGTGGGCATTTTGGTTATTTAAAATTTTTTGCTATTACAAACAATACTGCGATGATTTTTTTGGTATGTATTTTAGGGAGAATACTCATAAGTAAGTTTCTAGCAGTACAATTGTTGGGTATAGTGCTTAAGATTTTTTAGTTTTTTAAATTTTGACAAATTGTCCTGTAGGGAAGCTGCAAGAATTTACATTCCTATTAATAAACATTCTCTCAAACAGGCTGTCTTGTCAAAACTAATTTATTCAGTATGGTAGGTATAGAATGTTATGTCAGTGGTACTTTTACTTTTATTTTACTTTTAATTTACAAACAGTAAAAGTCACAATTATAAGAGCTTTCACAAATGCTGAAAGGGGATCATTTAAAAAATTTTTTCATTTTCTAATAGAAAGTCTATACTTACTGCTTAAAAAAACCCAAAAAAACCCCCATGGAAATTCCAAGAGTTTAATAGGAAGATCCTTGATCCTACCACCTCATGATACCACTGTGAACATTTGTGGATTTCTTTGACTTTTCTGTGTGCAGTTTTTTTTTTTTTCCTTAAGCAGGTATCAAATTATATGTAATCCATTTTTTTTTTTTTTTAAAGATTTTATTTATTTGAGAGAGAGAGAGAATGAGAGACAGAGAGCATGAGAGGCAGGAGGGTCAGAGGGAGAAGCAGACTCCCCGCCGGCCAGGGAGCCTATGTGGGGCTTGATCCCAGGACCCTGGGACCATGACCTGAGCTGAAGGCAGACACTTAATGACTGAGCCACCCAGGCGTCCCTATGTAATCTATTCTTTTTTTTTTTTTTTTTTTAAAGATTTTATTTATTTGACAGAGAGAGACACAGTGAGAGAGGTTCAGAACACAAGCAAGGGGAGTGGGAGAGGGAGAAGCAGGCTTCCCGCCGAGCAGGGAGCCCGATGCGGGGCTCGATCCCAGGACCCTGAGATCATGACCTGAGCCGAAGGCAGACGCTTAATGGCTGAGCCACCCAGGCGCCCCTATGTAATCCATTTTTAAAAGTAATATTTATTAACCACAAGGGAGGTGAGGGGAAGACTGTTCTGTCTGGGGATACCTGCGAGCTACGTGGTCTCTCAGCTCTCAGAGTTTCAGTTACTGTCTTTATATTTCAATTCGCACCTCTGTTCATGCACGGAGCTTCTCTCTCAGATCTCTGGTCTTCGGTGGGTGCTTGTCAGGGGTGTACTGTCACCCCCAGATCAAATTCAGCATGTCCAGACTTTGTTCATTACTTGCCTTGTCAAGCCCGTTTCCTTATTTAAAGGAGATACTCTTGTTCTTTTTTTAGAGGTCCTCTTTGACACCAAATCTTTGATTTTTGTTGTTGTTGTTGTTATTCTCTTTCAAATGACTCTCTCTGTTCCTCTTTCTCACTGTCCCTTCCACCATCCCAGTTGCCGAGATCCTTACACTTGGATTAACACAGTAGCTTCTTGACCTTCCATCTTGAGATTTTTCAGTGGTGGACTGTTTTTGTTCTCCTTACCTGGCCAGAAACTCATGTTTCATAAAACTGTGTTGAGTTTACGCTGGACTCCTTTGACCCTGCAAGGGGTTTTCGTCCTCCACCTCCCATCGTATGCTGTGGCTAAGCTGTTTTCATGGCCTAGAGACTTGCCATATTTCTGCCTACCTTGGTCTCCATGGTGGTCTACCACTCAGAACTTTCTGTTCTCCAAGCCTGACCCCCCAAGTCCCACCTCCCCAAATTCATTTCTGACCATTTTGGGCCCTTTTGAGATCCTTTCTCCGAGTGCTCATGCCCAGTTTGATAATTATCATGTCTCTATAATTCACTCCTTGTCCCAGTCCACTGAAATGGCAGATGGCTTCATATGTACTCCATTTCCATCAATGCTGCTGAGACTTGTGGCAGTTTAGGAAACTAGCCAAATGGTTGGTTTATCTCCCCCTCCCCCCCACCCCAGTACAGATCCTAAATAGGAAGTTTACAGAGCTGAGAAGAGAGAAGGCTTGCCAGTTAGCATGTTATCAGGAGCATACAGGTGATAGTTCCCTGCCTGGGTATTCCTAGCGGAGAACACCAGCTCTGCCCAGTGCCAGGAGCCTGCTGACCATGTGCCCAGGTCTGATTGCAGGCACATTTTACAAGTTGATCCGTAGATATGGAGGGACACGGATAGAAACTGGATTAGACTTTGAGCTGCGAGGAACTGTGTTTTTTTGGTGGCTGATTTCCGAGAGGCTGTGTCTGGTAATTCTGGTGTCTTTGGTTTACAGACTGTGTGCTCTTGACGTCAGCGTCCCACTTTCTCATAACTAAACATGTTATATAAAATGTTCATTGTTGATAGTTCGATCAGTAGCAACAAGAGAATTAAATATTTACTGGAAAAAATGGGTACTTTCAAAAACCTATGTAAACACTGATGATGATCAGGGAGCTTGCATAAGAAGGTAAGTTAGGAAGCTGGTTACTATGGAACAGTTACTATGAAGGGACTCCAAGCACATTAGGTGAGCGCTGGCCTTTTCAGTGGGATGTGTTATAAAATCAGTGTGTTAGTGTTGGATTAAGACCAGCTGTTGATAAATTGCCTAAGTCCTTGGCTGACTTTCTGTTTGGTATGGAAAAGTCTCATCAATAAATTTGTCCCACTCCTTCTAATGATAATTTTTTTTTTTAACAAAAATATAGGTATTATTTTGTTTCAGCTTTGTCGTACAAAACCAGATCTTGCAATTCAGTAGTTACAAAGCCCCTTGAGACCCTTGGATGGACCCTGTTCGTTTTATTTAGGTTTCTTGTGCTGGTCCTGAGCTTCCAGTGCAAGAGCCCCTGGCCCCCTGAGGACCTTTCAGCTTGTGCTTGTTGTTAGCATCGGATTTCTGCTTTGGCCTTTCTCACATCTGGCTGCTCCCGCCTTCCAGGGCTGTGAGTGTGAGAAATTAGGTTATGGCACCTGCTCCCTCCATCAGAGTGCAGGCTGCTGACCTGACGGTGTAACACGGTAATGCAGGGTTTGTTCTGATGGCTGGATTAGGATACATGGCCGTGCCTGTGTTGTGTGTGTGTGTTATGTAAAAATCTTCAGTATTAGAACGTACTTTTTTGATGCAGTCTGATCATGATTACCATGGTTGTGTACTCTGCATAACTTTTCTCTTTTCCTGGTATCTGCTTTCTTTAGACCAGTGCTGTTCCGCACAATTATAATGGGAGTCACAGATGTGATTTTCTAGTAGCTAGATAAAGTTAAAACAAAAAGAAGCAGGGCGCCTGGGTGGCTCAGATGGTTGAGTGTCTGCCTTCGGCTCAGGTCATGATCCCAGGGTCCTGGGATCGAGTCCCGCGTCGGGCTTCCTGCTCCTTGGGAGCCTGCTTCTCCCTCTGCCTCTCTCTCTCTCTCTGTCTCTCATGAATAAATAAATAAATAAATAAATAAATAAATCTTTAAAAACAAAAACAAAAACAAAAAACAAAAAGAAGCAGGCACAACTAATTTTAGTAATATATTTTATAATCTAATATATAAAAAGATGATCATTTAACATAATCAGTATAATATTATTGATGAGATATTTTGCTTTTTTCCCCCATAGTAAGTCTTTGGAGTTTTGTGTGTATTTTATACTTACCAGCACATTTCCAGCTGACCACATTTCAAGTGCTCAGTAGTCACGTGGGGCTGGTGGCTCTTTATTTTATTTTTTATTTTTTTTATTCTTATGTTAATCCCCATACATTACATCATTAGTTCTAGATGAAGTGTTCCATGATTCATTGTTTGTGCATAACACCCAGTGCTCCATGCAGAATGTGCCCTCCTCAATACCCACCACCAGGCCAACCCATCCCCCCACTCCCCTCCCCTCTAGAACCCTGTTTGTTTTTCAGAGTCCATTGTCTCTCATGGTTCGTCTACCCCTCCGATTTCCCCCGCTTCATTCTTCCCCTCCCACTACCTTCTTCTTCTTCTTCTTCTTTTTTTTTTTTTTGAGCTCTTGTCTACTTATGTCAATGTCAGAGATCCTAGCCCTTATCTTATGTCATCACTTCACTTGGTTATATCGCCCTAATGAGATTCCCAGAGAACTTAAAGCAAGGACCATGTCCCTTTCATCTTTAAAACTTCACACTATTCTTGGACAGGCTGACTGTGTTTCAGCTCATATAGGAGGAGACCGCTATCGCTGCTTCAGTTCAGTCGTATGGGCCCTGACAGCGGTCCTGCAAATACTGGGGAATTCTCAGTGGCTCTAGGAGATGTGAACAGAACACTGGGGAAAATATGTTAAAAAACAAACACACACAGATCAGCCCTG